AATAAAAATTATAGCTAGCTCTCCAAAGGGTATATCAGTAATTTCACCAGGAGATAGAATAGCACAGTTATTAATAATACCCAGCCTACATGATAAATTTTCCAGTAGTACTATAGAAAGAGGTTCCAGGGGATTAGGCTCCACAGGTGTAGATTGGGCTATGCTGTCTTTAAATTTAGATTCTCGTCCCATGCTGAAACTAAATATTCAAGGACATGAATTTAATGGACTACTGGATACAGGTGCAGACCTTAGCATCATATCTCGTCAAGAATGGCCAAAACATTGGCCGTTACAACAAGCCACTCAAACGCTTCGAGGCCTAGGAGTGGCGACTAATCCCCATAGAAGTGCAATGGTATTAGATTGGAAGGATCCTGAAGGATGTGAAGGAACTATACAGCCATATGTATTAGATCATCTTCCTATAAATTTATGGGGACGAGATGTCCTAGATCAATTAGGTTTGACATTAACAAATAACATCAATCCAAATGCTCCCACTATTAGGGCTAGACAAGGTTTCAGGAAAGAAAAAAGATTAGGAGAACAAGGCATAGCAGCACCAATTCAAATAGATCAGGGAATAAATAGACATGGACTGGGTTTTCAGAAGGGGTCACTGAGGCAATAAAAATTACTTGGAAATCAGATAGACCAGTATGGGTTCCTCAGTGGCCCCTGACTAAAGAAAAGATACAAGCAGCCCATGACCTGGTCAAACAACAATTAGCGGAAGGACATATACAACCTTCCGTATCCCCTTACAATACTCCCATTTTTGTCATTAAAAAGAAATCTGGTAAATGGAGATTATTGCAAGATTTAAGAGCCATTAATAATGAGATGGTTATTATGGGACCTGCTCAATCAGGGATTCCTCAATTGTCTGCTTTGCCAAAAACCTGGTACGTTTTAGCTATAGATATTAAAGATTGTTTTTTTTCAATTCCAATTCATCCTGAGGATAGTCCACATTTTGCATTTACTATCCCTGCACTGAATCATGAAGGTCCTGATCAGAGATATGAATGGAAAGTACTCCCTCAAGGGATGGCTAACAGCCCAACTATGTGTCAAATTTATGTTAACAAAGCAATCCAGCCACTTAGAAATCAAAATCCTAAACTACAAATATTTCACTATATGGATGATGTATTGTTAGCACCCAAAGATAAAAACACATTGCTAGAATGTTATGCCACACTTACAAATTTATTAAAAAATTATAATCTAGAGATAGCAATAGATAAAGTACAATTAAATTTTCCAATTAATTATTTAGGAGTTCTATTATCCTCAACCATGGTCCGTCCACCAAAAATTCAAATACGAGTAGATCAACTCAAATCACTTAACGAAATTCAAAAGTTATTAGGAGACATAAATTGGATAAGGCCTTATCTAGGCATACTAACAGGAGAGTTGGGACCTTTATTTGATATCCTAAAAGGTCCATCAGATCCAAATTCACCCGCATGTTAATGCCTGAAGCAAGAAAGGCATTAAAATTATTGAAACATATATGGAAAATATGCATTTGGATAGAATTGATATAACGTTGCCTTTATTATTTATTGTAATACCAACAAAAAATATTCCTACAGGAGTATTTTGGCAAGAAGGTCCATTATTGTGGATACATTTATCTTATTCTCCTAACACTATTCTTACTAGGTATCCGGAGGCTGTAGGACAATTAATACTCAAAGGAATAAAAGCAACAAAGGGAGTGTTTGGAATTTCTCCCAATAAAATTATTACTCCATATACTATGGATCAAATTGATGAGTTCGCTAATGAGTTAAATACTTGGGCAATAATCATGTGTAAATCTAATGTTTCATTTGATAATCACTTACCATCTAATCCTTTGTGGTCTTTTTGGTCTTCACATCCTGTAGTTTTTTCCAAAAATGACAAGAAAAACCCCTATCATGAATGCTTCAAATGTATTCACTGATGGGTCAAATAATGGTACAGCAGCAGTAGTTACCCCTGATCAAACTTTTACATTTTTAGTACCCAAACAATCAGCTCAAAAGGTAGAGCTTAATGCAGTTTTACAAGCTTTTGTGATGTTTAAAGATTCTGTATTTAATTTATTCTCTGACAGTCAGTATGTAGTTAATGCTATAGTATCCCTTGAAGATGCTGGCAGGATTTCCACTTCCTCTACTGTTTTCTCTTTGTTTTCTGCTATACAAAGTCTAATCTGGGACAGAAAAGATCCATTCTTTATAGGACATATCAGAACACATACAGGATTGCTTGGAGCCCTTAGTTTGGGCAAAAATTTATCAGATAAAAGTACACATGACATACATATTTTCTCTACACTAGAAGAAGCTACACATTTTCATAAAAGGTTCCATGTCAATGCTAATACTTTACAAAAGCATTTTAAAATAACTAAGGAACAAGCCAGACAAATAATAAAACAATGTCAAAATTGTGTGACCTTTTTACCACAAGTTAATCTTGGAGTCAATCCTAGAGGACTGATACCTAACCATATTTGGCAGATGGACGTCACACACTTGCCAGAATTTGGAAAATTAAAATATTTGCATGTTACAGTTGATACTTCTTCCGGATTTTTGATGGGCTCCCTTCATGCCGGAGAAAAAACTAAAGATGTTATAGCTCATTGCTTACAAAATTTTGCCACTGTGGGCGTTCCAAAACAGTTAAAAACAGATAATGGTCCTGGTTATACTTCTACCTCTTTTAAACAATTTTGCTCATCATTTGGCATTACTCATATAACAGGAACCCCATACAATCCTCAGGGACAAGGCATAGTTGAAAGAGCTCATCAAACTATTAAAATGTACTTATTAAAGCAAAAACAGGGAATTGGAAAGGGGTATATATCACCCAAAGATAAACTTAAAATAACGCTTTTTACTCTAAACTTTTTAAATTTGCATTCATCAGGGCTTAATGCTGCGGAAAGGCATATGTGTTCAAAAAATGTACATAAGCCTAAGGTACTTTGGAAGGATATTCTAACAGGACAATGGAAAGGTCCTGACCCAGTGATTGTCTGGAGTCGGGGTTCTGTTTGTGTTTTTCCACAGGGAGAACAGCAGCCGATTTGGATTCCAGAGAGATTAACTAAAACAATTTCTACAGGCCAAAAGGTGATTTGACTCAAATCCATAACAGCTGATATCCAGAGCTCCAGTTTGGCTATTCTTACATCTGTGACAGTGATTAACCAGGTTGCTTTTTTCAATATTTATTTTATTATTTGCCTTTTCCCACATCATAAAGTTCTATTTTATTTTTGAGCTCATACAGACCTAGGTTAATGTTTTTCTGATCAGTTTTATTTTTTGACTGTGGAGTTTTTAAGCATTGCAATGGAGATTTCACCTAGGTAAAGCTACAAGGCCTTTACTATTGTCTTATGTGTTGTATGTTATGTGTGCACACTTCTGTTTTGTGTTGTATGTCTGTATGTGCGTATGTCCATATATCATATATGAGGAGCGCTCATGAATAAATGGATCCGAATTTTTTTATTCACGTGATTTTAATGGTTTAATTTAGATTGGGTAAACAGCTGTTGAAAATTGTTTTAATATGTGAACAAGTAAGGAGGTTAACAGATCTGTTTGTTTACTTTCACCTTTCCTTCTCATTATATTTAATAATTCTGTTCAGGATAATGTAAATTGTTCAAAAAATTGTTTTCTTAGTGCCTGTTGGAATGTTACATAATTTTTTCCTTAGCATCATTGCCAGAATTCCTATCTTCATCCCAGTGCCGGTGAAGACAAAGATAAAACCAAACTACAGCTTCTTTGATAGTTATCACAACAAACTGTAAAAACTGATGCATCAATGAATAATAACTCAACAAGTAATGCTCAGTTAAGGAGTTGATTTACTTTGGGAGGAAATGGACATATTGACAGATTCCTCTGCTTTGAATTGCTTGCAGACCTTGCCTGGACTATGTATCACTTGTATGCATTGTGAACTATCTGTTGGTACAGCAAATTGTGGTAGTGCTGGAGTATTTTTGCTGATGGTGTCACCGGTGGTACAATTTTTCAAAGGAGCCCTCAATTGGCTTAGTGTCATGGCATTTTGCATCCTCCTCCCTTCTACTAGTGATGGTCTAAAATTTTGGGGCCAACAGAGGTGAGGCAAAGAACCTCACCCCCCCACTGGTGCAAAGGCCTATCCACAAGTATGGCTGTATGCTGGACTGGTAGTCAGTGACGGGTATGATCCAATTGCAGTGGTACCAACCTAAGACAGGAGGCTGACGCCTAGAGGTCAGTTCATCCGATGACGGGTAAGGACCATATGTTGAATTGGACTGCCTAACAGGCACGGTCCCTAAGCCACATTGCTTGTTGTTTAATTAAACAAAAAGGGGGAGATGCTGAGAGCCACGGCCGAGTCTGTATGGCCCCTGGCATTTTGCCAACAGTATTGATTGACAGGCGAGGCATTACTATCCGCCTCTGCCGCAACTTTTGAGTTCTCGCACTATTTTGGAGTTCTCATGGGGATTTCCGGGGATTCCCCGAGAGTTCCCATTGGTTGGGGAAGTGCAGGAGGAGGGATTTCCGGGAGAGATATTTCCGGCTGGGGGTTCCTGGACAAGCCTCCTGGCGCGTTCGGGAGGATTCCCCGGGAGCTGTGTGAAGTGTTTTCCTGCAGTTTAAAAATAAAGTTTGTTCCTGCTTCAGTGGCTCTGATTTGTGCCCAGCCAGACTGCGGCAAAAAGGAATCTTTATAGTTAGGCCAAATTTCCCCTTACAAAATTCTCCAGTGAATGCCTAAAACCATGGTTAGTAACAAATCTTTTTTTGTTTGTTTATTTTTGCAATCTTATATATACTTTGCCTTTTTCCTACAGATTCATCCTTATGATAAAGTTTAATTTATAAATTAGGCATAGTAAGATATTAACAATAATTAACAAAATGGAACATCTGTAATAACATTATAAAAGTTATGTGAACGTAGTACTGTTATCTCAAAATGTCTGATTGTGATATCCTAACCTTTTGTGCTGTCCTGATGTGAAATGGATTATGTATGTGAAGAATTGAAGTGTGATGAATGACAAAGGAACTGTGACCTGGCCTTAGGCAACTTCATAAGGTTTATGAACACAAGCACCCTGGTGCTGGGATCTTTGATCTGATCACTGATGTTTGGGAAGTGTACACAAGTTGGAACACCTGGGATGATTTATGTCTTAGGTGAGTTGGAGTGTGATGGAACAAGATTCTGTCCAGAATGTCACACAATTTAAAACTTATAATTGTTTATTTCTGAAAATTTCCACTTAATATTTTCAGACTGTAGTTGACCATGCTTAATGGACAACACAAAGCAACTGCAAAAAAAAAAAGGAGGATTATTGTGATAAATATTTTACAATCAACCATTTTATAGCAGAGAGTCTAGTTAGGAGTCAGTAGCCACAGTAATTTTGGAGTGTAAATTCCTTAACAATCCCATATTGGAATTACTTTATTTTCTGTCATATGCAGCACAGGTCTTAATATCTTGCTGTGAAAGTAAGGTGCAGGGGTGATATGAATTGAGACCGACTTTTGTGCTCAATGTTAACATTTAAGTGTTTGCTCAGAAAAATCCTAATTAAAATGAACAGCAACACACTATATAAGATATCTAGACATGATTATTAGAATTATATGCATTATTTATAAAGGGCATTGTGTTGTTTAATTCTTTTTTTAAAACTTTTTATAAAACATAATAAATCCTCAGAGAAATAAAGGAAACTACTCAAAGAGATTGTAAAGCCCTGCAGTTTTCATGGCTCTGCTAGGGGCAGAGGTAGCAGGAGACTGTGAGATGTTGAAGTGCTTGTGTTAAGTATTTAGTTGGCTTTTTGTCTGGGTAATTCTCAAATGATTATGGAATATCTTGGGATCTCTCATCTTTTTATTTCCTTCTATGATTTCATGGATCTTTCCTTATTTCACTCAAGGATTTAGTTGTATGGACACTGATGTTTAAGAAAAGGTGTTTTCTGTGCATCATGGATATACCATCCACTGGGGAACCATTAATTAAAGTAGCAGGTAAGTGCTACAAATGGCTTGACAGTGGGGAGCAAATACTGATGGATTGCTTGGTGACTATATCTTACTGGGGGAAAACCTAGGCTTGCAGAATCATTCAGAATCCACTTCTGCACATCTCTCCTCCTCTCCAGCTATGGTTTCATGTCTTGTCTTTAAATCTTGTCTTTAAAGCTTCCATTTCACTTTGGTTTATGATTAAATCTCTTAGGAAAGTCATTTATTTTACTTCCAGTGATAGATGGCTTGTGGAAAGAAACTGGACCACATTAATACCTCTACTCTTTCATGTACTAAGAGAATCTTATAATCTACAACAAAATGTCACAAATATCCAAGGGACATTATAATATCGGCTGCAAAAACACTTCTATAACTAAAGTTTACTATAAGAAAATACATTAAAACATTAATATTTCATCTTATTGACAAGCACACAAAAACATGAAATATACGTTGATGTGTATTGTTATATGTTTTTGGCAACTTAAGTAGGTACAGTGCTAAAATTTTACTGGTGACAATCACATTTTGTTGAGGCATGGAGCCTGTCATCAAGAATATGCTGACCACATAAAGCATTATATGTAGGTTTCCATGCTGTCATGAGATCTAAAGAGAGAAATATTTGCCCCTATTTTTCCACATCATTAGTGTTGAGTATTGGGTTATTTTGTTTTGTTTTGATTTTTGTGTCTTTTAAACACAGATGACTTCCATTTATTTCAGAAAAACATTAGCTTTCATTGTAACTAAAATTTGTCATTTGTAACCTGGTGCTTTTAAGAATTGAAAACTCCTAGGATGTTCAATAATAAGAGTTAAACATTAATCTATAGCAAGAACTTCCGATACATAAATTCATTTCAACTTCACATTATCATGGAAGAACTATTGTTATTCCTATCACCTAGATGAGAAACTGCAGCAAAAAGAACTTTGCTAAATGTTCTGAGGTGGGAGCTAGGATTCAAACCAGATGACCTGAGCTGAACCTTCTGCTTTCAAAGCCTCCTTGGCAGCCTCTACCTTTCCATCAGGTACTGGAGCTACCTCTCCTGATGACTCACTCTGTTCCTGGTCTTGTGTTAACAGGGAGGGCTTACTTAAATATTTTTTGCTCACTGTTTATTTAAAGAGGGTCTTTTGAGCCAGTTGGTTTTGTTTTTCTGTCTGTCCTACTAGGTATTCTAGTGGTGGGGATATATGACAGGTGGGAGGAATGGACATTCAGGGTTTCTGAAATTGTATCTTCTCTATCACTCAAATATAGTAGTGATTTAGATATATATTTTATTAGTTGATGTGAGAATATGGAAAATAATTTTGAAAGATGTGTTTAAGAGAACAAAGAGATCTTAATTTATATGTAGACTTTCAAAGAGAATGTTGAAGCAAGAACTTTGCTAGAATAATATCCAGATGAAATCAAGGGATGCTAAACATTTAATCAGACAGAACCATCTTGTGATTATTATTTTTCATGACCAGAAATTTGATTTCTGCAGATTCTAAAACATACAAGGAGGAGCTGGGGATATGGCTCAAGCGGTAGCACGCTCGCCTGGCATGCGTGCGGCCCGGGTTCGATCCTCAGCACCACATACAAACAAAGATGTTGTGTCTGCCGAAAACTAAAAAATAAAAATATTAAAATTCTCTCTCTCTCACTTAAAAAATTAAAACATACAAGGAACTACTGTATTAATTAAGAAGCTAACAAACTAACTTACAATAAGAATTTTAGTTAAACAGATGGACTGAATCTGTCATATTTAGTGATCAGTGCAGTCTTTCCCTGTTTACCAATTTATGTTTGAAGACAAACTGAAGATCGAAAAAAGAGTCAGGAGATTTGGAACACATCCCCAAGCCAATGTAATTATGTTATCAAACTATTTTGACTACCTCAGGGCTTATTGCTGAAAAGGGAGAATTCAGTTATAATGAGTAATTTTTTTTGTTATCTTTCTTCTCCACCTTGTAATATTTAGTGATTGAGGGGTCACAAACTTGTGGATGAAAAGATTTTTATTTTTTAACTAAGTAATCTATACTTTTATAAATCTCATGAATATTTGAGAAGTCATGAATATGCATACATATACAGGTATATTTCAGGAAATATTATTCATATCAGTTTTGCTGTGCTTAAGTCCTTCAGAGGACATGAAAACTTCTCCAATGAATTTGTGAGAAAATTCTTTCTATATATGGGAAATGTTACATTCTATTTTATTGTCAGGCTAGACAATAAAAGGGATATGGATTGAAAGGAGTTTAGAGAACTCCTTTTTATTTTCTAATTATTTCCATTTTTCCTTACCATTTCAATGTTGCTAAAATTGTCATTCAATGACTATTAGAAAATTATGAAAGACTTCAAAATGTTCCTAGATTTAGAGCTCATGTAATTTCAAAAATGCAACTGACAATTTCTTTGAGGTTTCATTACTCTTCCAATTCACAGATAATAACATTTGTTCCCACCTTTGGAGACCCAGTTACCCATCATCAGTCATCTGGGTCTATCAAAACAGTCAATCTGAGTAATGGGAAAATGTAAAAATCCTGGTGTCAGATAAGAGCTCTTTCTACTTGAAATCTATGGAATTTTTTGTTAACAAATCATAGCAACTTCAACTGTGCATTCAGCATACACTGGAGAAAGGTATTTTGTGCTTGACCTTGTTTCCCAAATTAGGTGGAAAATAGAGTTTTTGAGGTTAAGCTATGTTTAGCACAAACTTTCTAGGAAAAAAAAAAAGCTAATGCTTTCCTAATGCTTTTTCTATTGTTGTTTTTTGAGATGGAGCCTTGTTGTATCACTCCAGATTACCTTCACACTTAAAAATTTGTGCTAGGATTATGGACACATGCCACATTTCTAGATTCTACCATCTCATTTGTTTATTTGCTTTTTTTATACTGTATTCTTTTTTGTTACTGGGGATTGAACCCAGGAGTGCTTTAGTACTGAGCACTCCAGTCCTTTTATTTTTGAGACACAGTCTTGCTAAATTGCTAAGGCTGGCCTGGAACTGATGATTCTCCTGCCTCATTTTCCCATGTATCTGGGATTGTATCTGTGTAGCACTGTACCAGGCTGACCATCTTACTTTTTAATCTGCAACAATTGCATTTTAAAAATCTATTCTTGAAAAGGGGTAGAGTAAAATGTTATAATCTTATCCTACAACTATCTGTTATATTTTGGATCTTAAATGTCCCTCAAAGATCCTTGTGCTAGAGATTTTGTTGACAGCATGTGGCATTTTGATAGGTGATGAAACCTTCAGGATGTGGAGTCTAGTGGAAGGAATTTAGGTCATTGTAAGTGGGAAAATGGAAACCCTTTTTCACTGGGCTTTCTTGTCGCTATGATATGAGCAGCTTTCTCTGCCATGGTCCCTCACCTTGTAGTAGTATCTACCACAGGTCCAAAGGCAACAGGGTTAAGCACCATCCAATGAAACCTCAGAAGCCATGAACCAAAATAGTCTTTTCATCCTTTTAAGTTAATTATGAGAGGTATCTTTTCACATTTGTGGATACCTGAGTAACCCAGCATGTGTCCTGTAAATTAGTATTTAGCAAATAGAAAACAATTCTTTTCTAGTTCATCCATGCTTGTCAATTGTTACCAAAACATAGGATTAGATGATCTTCTGAAGCACCCTTGTGTATTTGTTCTAGAATTGATTCCTGATAAGTAAGGTAAATTTTAAAGTAAACAAATTTTCTGTGAATATAAAGAGGAAAGAACTGAAGAGAGAAAAGATTCAAACTAACTGAATTTTAGATTTTAAAGACCAAAATAAAAAATTAGGAAAAATAAATTCAATTAAAACCAATAGCTATTGTTACACGTGACAAAACAGGGCTCATAAGTGCTCTGAAAGAATTCATATATATTGGCTCATGGCTAGTAATTATTAAATAGATAAGATTTTCAATTACTCTCAGTTTTTTTATGACAAAAAATTCTCTAGTTTTGAAACTAATTTGGATTCATTTACAATTTCCATATAAATTCTTGTGGAGTCTTTTGAAATTTACAAAAAAAAAAAAAAAAAAGAAAACAATCAGTGAGGGAAGTCAAAGCTAAAACCAATTGAAACAATATAACTATAAGAAGAAGAATTTCAGTCTGATAATCATAGATGTAGAGATCATTTAATAAAATTTCTACCAAGGGCTAAAAGAATAACTGAGGAATAGATCTCATGAAGAGGATGTTTTTGAATCATTTAAGTAAGATTTATTTTGAAAGCAAAAAGAAAGTAGTTGGTGCGAGAACTTCATGATGATGAGGTTCTCAGCAAGAATAGAGAATAAAGAGAACTGAGCAGAGTTTTAAGCAGTTCAGCCCCCATTTACAAGTTTTGAAGGGATTTTTAATTATTTAACATGTCTTTTTAATGATAATTTAAAACAGGACCCATGTTGAGAGTGTAAGAAATGTGCTATGTGACTCATCAAACACAAAGAATGTGGCTGCCAGTATTAAGCAGCATAGAGTTTAATGCCCTGTTCCCAGGGCTAACCCTTCTACTTCTCAGAGGTCCTGGGAAACTGGAACTTTCTTCTCATGATAGCATTTGCTTTCTCCTTTTCAGTTTCCTCTTTTCTTTAAGTTAGCCATCTTTGAGGCTCATAGACTCTATTCAGTAGATTATTGATTGTACCCCAACTGGGTGCTAGTCACTGATGTCAAAGGATGTGGAAACCACTATCCCTGTTATTGAAGAACTCACACATTGAACACATTTCAAACAAAAGCAAGAAGCAACCCTCAGACCCTAATCACCGGTGACTTATGATATCAAGTACTTTTTCACATGCTCACTGGCCATTTATAGTTTCTTTCATGAATTGGCTGTTCAAGAATTTTGACCCATTTTACTGGGCATTTTGTCATTTTATTATTGACAACATATTGTGACCACAAATTCTGTGTCGTTTATTTGTGTCACAAATATTTCTCCCTTCTTTGGATAATCAAGAATATTTTCACATTTCTCTTGATATTCTTTATTGACATTTTAGTTATGTTCCTTTGTGTAACTGTTTTTTAACAGTTGCTCTACATCCAATTTTAACTATGTCCTTTCAAAGTGATTTCACCATTTTGTGAAAAATATGTGAAATGTATGCTATTGTATTTTTAATATTACCACTGTATCCTCTGTGTTCTTAATTGTTGCATAGTACTCATCAATATTATCAACTCACAGAACATTATCAGTTTTTTCTTAGTAAATTTTTTAAAAAAAATGTTTAAACACACACACACACACACATCCACACTTGTAAAATAACTTTTTGTAGGCTCCTATATAAATCAGCATATTCATGTTCTTTGACCTATCCTCTGGAATTGGGGTTCTATCTATTGTCACATGCCTTTAAGATTAAAATTTTCAACTTGTACCCTAGGACTAATGGGAACTTTTTTTTCAGTTTACATATTTTTAATAATGGAATAATTTATGTATAATAAATTTCCTCCATTTTAGTGTAGGTATTTGAACATTCCTCATTTTCTACTGGCCTTTAGTGCGAGTATTGAGTGAATGTAAGCAAAAGCTGAGCTGGGTTCAGGTTTTCTTATTGCTTCTGTTATCCTCAGTTTAATCACTGTCTTCAAATAAATCCAGTTCTGTCTGTGTTGATGACAGGGCTGTTGTCAGGTGTATTTTTATTTTTCACCATTTTGGTCCCTCCCTTAGCTTGAAGTCTTCCCATTGCACCTGGGCCTCAGAATTGACCTACCTACACTGTCTTCTCCTCTAAAGGGCATGTGCAGAGGTGTAGGGAGGACTGGGTTGTTTTGTTGTTCTTTTGAAGTTTTAGTCTACAATCCCAGGTCTTGCAGATGAGGCTTTCTTAGGGTATAGGCTGGTTTGTTTTCCTTCTCTTCTCAGACATGCTGTTTTATTTTTCTCTTTCTCATCTCCAGCTGTGCATCTTCCCCTGGGCTCTAGGAGAAATGGTATTTGCTGCTCTTTTACCAGAAGCTCAAGGCTTTTATTCTCTGAGGAGAAAGAAGAAAGGTTTGTTCCTTTTTTCATAGGAGCTGTATTCCTTAGCCCAAGTCTGCAACACCAGGGACCTCACTGTTCTTATAAAGTAGCAACCATCTCATCTCTGCTGGTTTTACCACCTCAACTTTATATGAATTTATATTTTACTTTATGTATTTGTTTATCTATCAATCACTTTTTCTGGCTCATCCATAAGATGATGGATAGCCACATTAAAGAAGAGAATAAATCTGGTTTTTAACTTTCATATCTACATGCTCAGTAAAGGATCTAAATCATAGTTGCAATTTAGAAAATATACTCAAATGAAACAATTATTGTCTATTTTTGAGGGGGATGCATTTTATGTTTTCTGTAACTTTTTTAAATTTCAAATTTACTGAAAAGTTGAAATAATACTATAAGAAGAACACATATACCCATTTAAAAAAATGAATCAATTAATTGTACATTGCCTTAGGCTTTACTGTTTCTTTCTCTCTGTGTGTGTGTACGTGTGTGTGTCTCTGTGTTATAAACATTTATCCATTTTATCCTATTCAATCCTTAACTATACCACTACATAATAAAAAGGGGTTTTTAATTGCATAGTTCTGGCAGAATTATCAAAATGAGGGAATTTAAAACTTTAAATTGATGATTCAAATTGTTTTAAATTTCATTTAAAACTATTATCTATTCTGTAGTTCATATTCAAATTTTGTCAAGTTCTCTCTACAGTCTTTGATAGATTTCCTCTTTCCTGGTTTAGCATTCAATTAAAGATCAAGCATTGTCTTTATTTATCATTTAGTTTTAGTTTCCTCTTAAACTGTATGAGATCTTCAACTTTTCTTTATCTTAAGTAAATGTTATTTTGAAAGGGCACTTCCATTTATTTATAAAATATACTCAGATTGAGTTGTACAATGCTTTGGCAAAATTAGATTTATATCATGAATTTTAGCATGCAGAAGTGGTGTTGAATCCTTCTCAGTGCATCATATCAAACAAAATAAAATGCCTATTCATGGCAATAAGTATTCTGAGTTGGTCTTTCTTTCAGGGCACTTGCAAATTCTTATATTAAAAAGGGCCAAATGAAAAGAGATTGGAAATCTGTGTTCAGCTGTTGTATACCATATGGGAGGTATTAACATTAGAGTTCAAGACCTACCAAGGGAAAGTGGATGAAGTAAATTTCCCAAACTCACTTGGAGTCCTGGAAAGTAGATATTCACTACATAGAATGAGACTTATGAAGTCTGAAACTAAGGGTTCAGTCACCTTAATTCTCTTCCACTGTCACTACATCAAGAAAGAGAATTTCATTATAAAACTGGAGTAAAAAAAAAGCAAAAAATTTCTTATCTGAAAAATATGACATATATTTTCATGTTTTATATGTAAAATTGAATATGAAATAGAATAATAAAGCACTTGAATAATCTACTAAATGACAAGAGGAGAAAAAAATTTAAAAGAGTAATAAGATATCAAAACTAAATACAAATAAACAATAATAACAAAAGACACAAGAACTAAAAACTATAGTGAAAAGTTGAAGACTATCTAACAAGAATAAAAATAAACTAGAAATATATTATGACATAATTTAAAAAGCAAAGAGATTATCGGAAAAGGAATGAAAATGAAAGTTATGCTATGAAAATACTTGTTAAAGAAAGCTGGCATATTTAAACAAACACCAAACTAATTGTAAAATATACATAAATGCAAAATATTTAAAAGAAATAAATAGTAATATCTATAATAATAAAATAATGATTAAAACAGGAAACTATAATCATTAAAATTTATATGCAACTAATAACACATTGTGAAATATATAAAGCACAAATGGAAGAGATAAAAGAGAAACTAACAAATCTACAATATGGGAGACATTATTACAATTCTGTCATTTTCTGGATTAAATAAAACACCAATAGATGAATGATGAAATCAAAAGTTTTCACATAATTTATATGTATAAATTTTTACATGCAATATTTACAAAATACACATTATGTATAAGTACAAAAGAACTTTTTATCAAAATCGTTAGTATGCTTCACTAAGCAAGTCATAGTATCAAAGAATTAAAATCAGATATGTGTTCTTATTAGAATGAAATTAAGTATTAATCAATACATAAAATAAACATTCTAAATATTTATTGATTAATAAATATATTTATGCCTAAGCTATAAATCAAGAAAGAAATCACAATGAACTTTTTAAATATATTAAAGTGAATGGTGATAAAAATGTTAATGTCAAAGTGTGGGAGATGCAGGGATGTTTGGGAGAGTTGTATAACAATAGATGTGGTGTTAGAAACCAGGAAGATTGCAAATCTATGATGTGCACATTAAGAAGTTATTTTTAATCATTATAATGTATCACAAATCTTTGAAATAAAAAACATAATATGAAATGCAGGAAATCGACAGAGTCAAACAATGACTCATTGACATGCCTAATAAAAATTGATGAACACCTTGAAAATATGACAAAGAAAGGAGAACAAATATTAGCAAATATTACCAAACAGGAAATGACAAAAGAGAGACATTAAAAACATGAAAGACATAAAAATATATAACATGCCATAGATTTGACAATTTAGGCATTAATGGACAAATTCTTAGAACAAAAGTTATCCAAGATTGCTTGCAAAGAAAGAAAACTTAAAAATTTTTGTTTTAACTATTAAAGACATTGAATTTGTAATTGAAAAATATCCCCCAACAAAATCTTAGGCCTAGATGATGGCTGAAGTAATGTTTTACAAGCATTTATGGAATATATAAAACAATATTATACAAACTTGTCCAGATAATGAAAAAAGATGAAGTATTACCCACCTTATATTTCAAGGTTACTATTTTTAATATTGAATGAGAATTTTCATGAACAGAAAAGATAATCCTAATATCAAATTCTTAGGAAATAACATTCAGCAATATATATGAAAATCAGAAATCAGACTGAGGTGAAATTATATTAAGAAGGCAGGGCATTTTAATAATTAAAAAATTAGTTTAATTTGCCACAAATTTGGAACAAAGAGAAAATGCATTTAAATATATTCCTAGATACAGAACAAAATTTTGATAATTATCCAACATGATTTGTAATTTAAAATTACCTGACACTTGCTGGTGGTCTCTTAACTTATAAAGCATATAAGAATAACAAATAATAACAAATACATACATTATAATAAATAATAAATTTAAATGTACACAAGATAAAAAATTACACATAATTATAATAATAAAACTTGAAGTATGTTCAAAAAATTAACTCATGAAATTTAATGATGCAACTTTGAAAACTTTCTACTTGAGATATTTGTAACCACTCAAAATACTTCTGTTTGCTCAAGGCCATAGCTGGAAAAATAATGCCAATAAATAAAGAGGTAGAAAGATGATATATATTAAATGAATAGAAATGAAATTTCATTTTATGTGTATTGTGACTTTCTCCCAAATAGTACAGTATGGAAAGCAGGAACATAGAGTCTAACTTTATCATGCAAAATTTTGGCAAGTACAACCTCAGCCAGATAATCAAGGTCAATATCAATACTCATAAATCGTATGTTCTCTATGTACCATTGATTTAATGTGATAAAAAATGGGACGCATCTTCTGTGGTCTTTTAACAGATGTATCCTCTGCAAAATTTTTATCTTTGTTTTGATCATGAAGAAATTATCAAATTCCAGTGGAGAGGCATTCTACAAATATTCCCCAAAATTGTTAGCTTATTTAAAACAAGGAAAATCAGAAAAAAAGTGATGCAGCCCAGTCTAAGGGACCCCAGAACAAATTTTATAAAATTATGTCAAAAATAAAGATATCCTGATAAACTATGGATTTACATTAGTAATAGTGTATCAATATTGGTTCATTAATTGAGACAAGTGTACCCTGGTAAAGTAAGATATCAATAGAAGGATTGATGCAGAATATATATGAACCCTGTGTGCTATTTTTACATATTTTACTGTATATCTAAAATTGTTCTAAAATAAAAAATTGCAATATATGTGAACCTCATTATGTATATGTAAATATATATACCTATGTACAAATATGTATATGATTGTACACACACAAAAATGTCACAAAACAGTTTTATTCTCAAAGGAAACTCTGTTTCTTCCAGAATAAGTATTCCAAATCCAGCCAATCCAGATGTAAGTATATGATGTAAAACATTCTGAAGACTCATACCACAAACCCCAAAGGTGTATGTTAGACTTGGTAAATATACATGACACATCATGAAAAAAATATTGTTTTTCAGGAGAAAGCAAAATTAATTTTTCATCACAAGCTGGAGAGTTACAAGTGGAATGCAGTCTTTAGTTAGAAACAAAACCGTTTTATATCATATTCATAAGAGTTGGTTTTTAAATGGGTTGCAGTAACAGATTTCATTGTTCCTCCTTTGGGAGTCTATTTATAACATTATTTATATGTCAACTTGATGGTGCTCTTTCATCATAAAGCCTACTTAATTTAAAGTTAATTGGGTCATAAAACAAAAATACAAACCAAAGGGAAAAGCTTAGGGGTGAAGTTATTTCTAGCAGGTGTTGGTAGAGAAAACTGTTGGCTGTAGAAAGTTCAAGCACAAATTGAAACAAGACCTTTTTTTGACATTTATAAAACATAAATGTTACATAGATTGCAATGAAATTTTAATGAAGATATGTAGAAGTGCTTCAAAGATTAACAAACTTATATTACTTTGAATAATGAATAATACTTATGTACTTAGCCATTGTAGTGTGTTTTGCTCTGTATTCTAAATTTTTAATTTTTATTCTTTCTAACTATAAATCAAAAGGTGAAACATGCATAGAGCTGTCCAATATTAATATATAACCATTACCAAAAATACACTTTTTCCTAAATAAAATTATAGGACATTATATTTATGAATACTTTAAGACCAAAAAAATTACCTGTATGGTATGTTAGGAAAGAAAACCCCGTGACCCCTTATCA